TGCAGCCATCATTGTTGTTTGGCGGGCCTGGGCTGGATTCGAACCCACCACCTTAGGTGTATGTGGCTGGTGCCTTAGCCACTTGAGCCACAGGCGCCGAGCCAATCCTATGTCTTTCAAGAGGACCATTGCAGTCCACACTAAATCTCTATATTACTAAGATTTGTATTGCCCTACTCTTTTTCATATGTATGTAAATCATATGCTGCTTTTCATCTTGACTTAACTCCTATGGATCTTATTTCCTTCACCAGAGTATAGATTTCTAGATGATCTTTTCTTATGTATTCTTGCAGTGAATACCACAGCATTACATATATTAAATATTATTGAGTCTCAGTGAATAAACATATGATGCATTAATGAATGTTTTGGGACAAGCTAAACCTGTCCAGGTGGATCCAGCCAGGTTGCCAGGCCTGGGCTTACTTCCCCAGGCTCCTGCCATCTGTTTCTCTCAGTGTCCTCCCCTTCAGTTCTTATAATTACATCACAGTGTGCAACAAAAGTTTCCTAATTGCTTCAGGAAGTAAATGTCTAACAAAGAACTATTTTCTTTAAACATGTATTTATTTCTGATTTCTTTCACTCTGGAAGATCTAAATGTACTGTATAGACATGAAACAAGCAACCAGTAAGTTACTTTGTAGAAATCTATTTTAATTTTCTGAATATCTTCAGTCCATTAGGCAGTTAAAATGAACACATACTCTCCCAGAATTTTATGTGCCAATTAACTGATAAAATTGCGGCTTAAAATTTAAAAAAACACCAAAGATTATAATCATGATTCCAAACTAACTTACTAAATGGTCATTGATTTTCTTTTAATTCTTAACAAATACCTTAGATGCCTTTTGTACTGTGAACGAGTGAGAGAGCTGGGCAGTCGCCATTGTAGAAATGTATCAGGATTCTTTCAACAATCTAACCTGTGGAAAAAAAAAATTAGACACTTTGGCTAAAATAATACTTCCTGGCTTACTCTGCCCTTTAATAGAACTGAAAAATTCTACAAACAAACATAAAAACTAAAATCAAGGTCAGTTAAGTATAAACTGTTTCCCAGTTTGTTCAGAATAGGGAGCAATTTACCAAGCTCTATTTTGAAGAAGCAAAGGAAGAATGAATACTAAAATAATTCTATAAGGACATATCTAAACAATAAAATGAATTGGAAAAATGCCTACTGTAAGTTACAATTTGACCATATTCATTGGGAAATAAATTTAATAAACATTTGTATCTCCATCATCAATTTTTGATAAATTTGGCATAAGTTTTCTAGATTAATTTTGCCAACCATCCAGTGAAAGTTATAAGATGATTTACTTATTTATATGTTGAAAGGAGGAAATTAAACTGAAAATCACTTAAAGTCTCAATATATTGTTCATCCTTGTTACTGCCTCAGAGTATACTGCTCTGTATATAGCAGGGGTTCAAAACATTTCTTTTCTTTTCTCAAGGAACATTTCTCAAGGAACAGAGTCTTGCTATGTTGCCCTTGGTTGAGTGCCGTAGAATCACAGCTCACAGCAACCTCAAACTCTTGGGCTTAAGTAATTCTCTTGCCTCTGGCTCCCACATAGCTGGGACTACAGAGGCCCACCACAATGCCCAGCTATTTTTTTATTATTGTTGTCATTGTTTAGCAGGCCCTGACCAGGTTTGAACCCACCAGCACCCAACCTGCCACTTAGCTATAGGCGCCAAGCCTCAAAACATTTCTTGAATTTAACTGCATGTGTAATTTATTTGCAAATTCATTTCTAAAGTTAATATTTACACTTCATATCAACTAAAATGGCATTCATCAAATTAGCTTAAAAAAAAATCAAGAAAGCAATACCATTTACATTAGCTACAAAAAAAATCTAGAAATAAATTTAACCAGGGAAGTAAAAGATTTCTACAACAAAACTACAAAAGAGTGATGAATATTGTTAAATGACCATACTATCTAAAGCAATCTACAGATTCAATGCAATCTCTATCAAAATGCCAACAATATTCTTTACAGAAATAGAAAATACAATCCTAAAATTCCTATGGAACCACAAAAGACCCCAAATAGCTAAAGCTATCCTGAGCAAAAAGAACAAAGTTGGAGGCATCATACTACCTGACTTCAAAATATATTTCATGGCTATAGTAACCAAAACAGTATGGTACTAGTATAAGAAAAACAGACACATACATCAATGCAACAGAACAGAGAACCCAAAAATAAGTGCATATATTTACAGTCAACTGATTTTTGACAAAGGTACCAAGAACATACATATTGGAGAAAGGACATTCTCTTCAATAAATGGTGCTCAGAAAACTAGATATCCACATGCAGAAGAATGAAACTAGACCCATATCTCTCAACATCTGCAAAATTCAACTTGAAATGGATTAGACTTAAATGTAAGACTCAGAAATACAAAACTACTTGGGGAAAAAAAAACCCAAGAAATGCTGAGACATTGGTCTGAGCAAATATTTTGTACATAAAACTTCAAAAAACATAGACAAAAGAAGCAAAAATAGACAAATGGGGTTTATCACACTAAAAAGCTCTACATAGCAAAGTAAACAATCAACAAAGTGAAGAGACAGCCTATATAGAATAGGAGAAAATATTTACAAGCCATTTGTACAACAAGGGATTAATATCCAGAACATACAAGAAAATAAAGCAACTCCATAGCAACCTCCTCCAATAGCCCAATTAAAAATGGGCAAAGGATCTGAATAGACATTTCACAAAAGATGACATAAATGACCAACAAGTATGTGAAAAAATGTTCAACATCACGAACCATCAGAGAAATGCAAATCAAAACCACAATAAGATACATACCATTCTTACCCAGGTAGAATGGCTATTATCAAAAGGATAAAAAACAAACAAACAAACAAATGCTGGGAAAGAAGATGAAACACTTTTATATCATGGGTAGGAATGTAAACTAGTACAACCATTGTGAAAACCAACACAGAGGGTACTCGAAAAACTTGAAATACTATATGATCCAGCAATCCCATTACTGGGCATTTATTCAAAGGAAAGAATTCAGTATTTCAAAGAGATATTTACACCCCCATATTTATTGCAGGAGTATTCGCAATAGCTAAGATATGGAATCAACCTAAGTGTCCATCAGTAGATGAATGGATAAACAAAATGTGGTATGTACACACAATAGAACACTATTCAGGCATTAAAAAAAAAATGAAATCCTGTCATTCGTGGCATCATGGATGAGGACATTATGTTAAGTGAAATAAGCCAGGCACAGAAAGATAAATATCACGTTTTTCACTCATGTGTGGAGCTAAAAATGTTTAGCTCATAGAAGTAGAGAGTAGAATTGTAACTCTTAGAGTTTGGGAAGGGTGTGAGGAGGGGAGGATAGAAGAGGTCAGTTAATGGATACTAAATTACAGCTAGATAGGAAGCATAAGTTTAGCGTTCCATAGCACTGTAAAGTGAGTACTATTAACAATAATATGTTGTATACAGGGTGTCCGTAAAGTTCGTGTGCGGCTTATATTCCACACAAACTTTATGGACAACCTGTATTTTCAAACAGCTAGAAGAGAGGATTTTGAATGTTCCCAACACAAAGAAATGATAAGTATTTGAAGTGATGGATATGCTAATTACTCTAATTGGATCATTACACATTGTAAACATATATTGTGTTATAATATCATTTATAATATCATTGTGTACCCTATAAGTATGTACAATTATGTGTCAATTAAAATTTTATAAATAGCTATTAAAAACTGAAAATAATAAACGTTGATAAGGACAAGAAATTAAAACCACTCTGCATTGCGGGTGGGAATATAAAATAGTGCAGCCATTTTGAAAACAGTATGGGGTTCGGTGCCTGTGGCTCAAGTGGCTAAGGCACCAGCCACATACACCTAAGGTAGTGGGTTCGAATCCAGCCTGGGCCCACCAAAACAACAGTGACGGCTGCAACCAAAAAAAATAGCCAGGTGTTGTGGCGGGCGCCTGTGGTCCCAGCTACTGGGGAGGCTGAGGCAGAAGACTTGCTTAAGCCCAGGAGTTGGAGGTTGCTCTGAGCTGTGATGCCACGGCACTCCACCCAGGGGGATAGCTTGAGGCTCTGTCTCAAAAAAAAAAAGGAAACAGTATGGGAGTTCCTCAAAAACTTAAACGAATTGCCATATTATCCCGTATTTCCACCTGAGAAACAAGAACTTTTAAGGCTCAGTGAGGTGGCTCATGCCTGTAATCCTAGCATTCTGGGAGGCTTAGGCAGGTGGATTGCTTGAGCTCAGGCATTCGAAACCAGCCTGAGCAAAAGCAAGCCCCCATTGCTACCAAAACTAAAAAAACTCACCAGATGCAATGCCGCAGGCCTGTAGTCCCAGCCACTCAGGGAGACTGAGGCAAGAGGATCTCTTAAACCCAGGAGTTTGAGATTGTTGTGAGCTGTAATGCTACAGCATTCTAGCCTAGGGCAACAGAGTGAGAGACTCTGTCTCAAAAAATGAATAAATAAATAACTTTTATCTGAGGAATGTGAGTCCTTTTAAATTATCAGGCACAAAGAGAAATTAAAATTAGACAGTAGTCTCATCTTACTCCCCACTTTGAGCTGTTTATTCATCTCTTGAAAACTACTTGCTATTGCCACAGATAGCTCTACATTAAACTAATAATGTTGAACCAGACACTATAACCCACATCCTATAGCTTAACAATTATAGCCAATCATTGATAAATGTTATTTCTATAAACCAATGAAAATTCCTAAACAAACAACATTTAAAACAATTTAAGATTAATATGAGGGTACAAACGATTAGGTTACAATGTTTGTGTCTGTTAGGTAAGGTCTCTGTTGTAGTTGTGCCCCTCACCCAGGAAGTGTGCTATGAAAACTATGGAACACTTCATGAATTTACATGTCATCCTTGCACAGGGGCCATGCTAATCTCTTCTGGATCATTCCAATTTTAGTATACATGCTGCTGAAGCAGGCACCAAACAACTTTTTATCATCCTGCTCTCTGTCCCCCTTTTTATTGCATTTGAGACCAGCCACCAGCCCAGGCAACATAATGAGACCTTGTCTCTTCAAAAACTTTTAAAATTAACTGGGTATGGTGTTGTATGCCGGTAGTCTGTACTTCTTGGGAGGCTGAGGCAGGAGGATTTTTTTTTTTTTTGAGACAGAGCCTCAAGCTGTCACCCTGGGTAGAGTGCTGTGGCATCACAGCTCACAGCAACCTCCAACTCCTGGGCTCAAGCGAGTCTCCTGCCTCCGCCTCCCAAGCAACTGGGACCACAGGCGCCCACCACAACGCCTGGCTATTTTTTGGTTGCAGCCATCATTGTTATTTGGCAGGCCCGGGCTGGATTCGAACCTGCCACCTTGGGTGTATGTGGCCGGCGCCTTAGCCACTTGAGCCACAGGCGCTGAGCCCAGGAGGATTTCTTGAGCCTAGGAGTTTGAGGTTACAGTGAGCTATAATTGTGTCCCTGCAGGGTCCAGCCTATGTGACAGAGCTAGACCCGTCTCTAAAAAATAAAGTAAGATATATTTTATGCCTCAGCCTCTTCCTTTTGGGTTGATACTACTCTAGTATACTATATATCCAAAAGAGCTAAAAGATGGAAGCAATCAAAATGTCTATCAATAGGTGAATGGATAAATAAAATATGGTACATACAATGCAACATAATTCAATCTTAAAAAGGAATGAGATTACAAATCAACTTTGAAAACATTATGCTAAATGAAAAAAGTCAGACACAAAAGGATAAATATGTGATTCCACTTATATGAGGTACCCACAGTAGACAAGTTCATACAGACACAAAGTAGAATAGAGGTTACTATGGGTTAGGGGAGTGGAAAGAATAAGGCTTTTAATGGGTACAGAGTTTCTGTTCTGGAAGATAAAAATGTTTTGGAAATTGATAGTGGTGATGGTTGCAAAGCATTATAAATGTGCCACTGAATTGTACACTTGAGATGGCTGTTTTATGCTATGCATAGTTTACCACATTAAAATAAATGTTTAAAATACATCTAATTTTTGACCTCTCTTGTTTCATTAACATAAAAAAGCAAATTCCTTTTCTTTTCAAAGGCTTTAATTTAATTTCAACTAGGGCTTCTTTTCAAGATATTATGGAGTTCTCACCAAAATACTTGTCAAATAATCCCTTTAGAGAAACTCCACTCAGGATCACCCAGGATAGCCTGTGATCTGTTTTTGTATGTTGATTAATGCAAGATTCTGGAAGATTTTGCCAGTGAGAGGGTAGAATTATTTGAGGACATTGCCACAAGGTGGTGATAGAGATTATAAACATGTAATATTTAATTTCTCTCAAATTACTTCTTAAGAGTGGCACTAGGGGACACTCTTTGACAATATTTTATATATGAGTCTGAAAAGTACCTAATAATCCTTTGATCCTTGAAAATTCCAAGTATCTTTTGTTGACTTCAGAGTATAGCCTTCAAGTCTGATTCAACACTTCAGGCGCCCCCCCTTAAATTTCAGGAAATAAAATGGCACTAGGTGACGTGGCTCACACTTCAGCCCAAGGCAGGAGGATCATTGGAGGCCAGGAGTTTAACACTGCAGTGAGCTATGATCATGCCTCTGCACTTTAGTCTGGGCAACAAAAGAGATTCTGTTTCTAAAAATAAAAAATAAAATCAAAAATAAAATGGGAAAAAAGTAGCTATGATATAAGAATTTAAGTTATAGTCCTAGCCTAGTAAACCAAGGTAAGTTGCCCCCTACGGGGGTAGTTATTAGTCTTTAGAGAAAATGCATAATGATTTTTAGGCTCAGCACCTGTAGCTCAGTGTTTAGAGCGCCAGCCACATACACCAGTGCTGGTGGGTGTGAACCCAGCCAGAGTCTGCTAAACAACAAAGACAATTACAACAACAAAAAATAGCCAGGCGTTGTGGCAGGCACCTGTAGTCCCACCAACTTGGGAGGCTGAGGCAAGAGAATCACTTAAGCCCGAGTTTGAGGTTGTTGTGAGCAGTGATGGAACAGCACTCAACCAAGGGTGACATAGTGAGACTCCGTCTCAAAAAAAAAAAAAAAGATTTTTAAATAGCTTTCATTATGGGTGTTTTTTTTTTAATTTCTCTATGATCATAAGATAGTCTGATGACATTTCTAGAGAATCAAGCCCTGAAAATAGCATCAATCAACTAGAACACCGTGCATTACTATGTCCATATTTTTGCAATATATGGATGACCTGGATTAAATAGATATCACTGAAAACTTTGAAACATCCAGGACACTTGCTTTTGAGAAAGGATTCAAGCTAGTTGCTATTAGCATTTGGGAAATTCCTTTGGAATTCACATTTATGAAAGTAAATTTAAATTTGATACACACATATGTGTATATTAAGAAAAAAATAACCAGCAGTATAATCTAGCAGAAAGAGGCTTTGGAGTTAAGGAACCCGAGTTCAAATTCTGTCTTCACTACCTAGCATCTGTGTGAACCTTCCAAATTATTTAATTTCTCTAATCTTTAGTTTTCTTTTATAAAACGAAGACAATAAATCCAACTTTACAGGGCTCTGTTGGTGTTTATCCAAATGTGTTCATCTGATGAGGTAGCACAGCATAGTAGTTAAAGCACATGGACTCTTCTGGATCCAAACTGCCCAGGTTCAAATCTTGGTCTGAAATTCATTCACAAGACTTTGAGTGAATTGGGTGCCCCAGTTTTTTCATCTGTAAGGTAAAAATAATAATAGTACCTACTTATAGGGTTGTTTCAAGGATTCATTATTATTTCATCATTTGTAAAGCATTTGGGACACTTTCTTTTTTAGATTGTGTTTACCCTTAACCCTTTCTTCTAATTTCTGTTACTGACATATAAAATTGTATATATTTGTTTTCTACAACATGATTTGAAGTATATATACATTGTAGAATAGTTACATCTAGCTAGTTAACAAATGCATTACCTCATATTGTTATATTTTTGTGGTAAGAACACTTACCATCCACTCTTAGCATTTTTAAAGAATATATCATTATTAACTATAGTCACCATTAAATGTATTTCTCCTATCTAACTAAATATGTATTCACTGACCAGCATCTCCCCAATTTCCTTACTTGCCCTCCCCCAACACTTTCTGATACACTTTTTAAAAAAATATATGTTACAAGGCATGTTTGCTTAAAAACATCCTGATTAGTGTTCAGTGTCCTGATTTTCCTCCAGCCTTCCAGTTGTTCCTTCTTACTGTCCTCTCCAGACATTTTTTCCTAACCATTCTTTCCAGTTTGATGTTCTTCAGGGTTCTGTCATAAGAGCTCTTATTCATCTTTTTTTTTTAACCTCTAAAACACATTACCTGGATGAACAAATACACTCCTGTTGTTTCAATCACTATTTATAGCCTAAAAATTCTTATGTATATATCCCTGCTCAGTTCTGTCCTAGGAGTTGCTGATTTGTTCCTCTATCTGGCCACAAGACAGATCTACTTTGATGTTCTCAACACATCCAAATGTGAATTCTTTTTCCCCAAAATCTATTTCTGTTACCTAGCTCAGTGAATGACATCTGCAAATACTTAATTGCCTAATCTTAAAACCTGTGACTCAGCCCTGATCCCTTCCTCACCTTAATATTTCTCAAATGTGTCCACTCCTCACTTTATCCATTTTGTTGTTATCTCTACTTAAGATCAACCAGCCTCAACTTTTACCTGGACCTCTGTAACCAGCAATCTTACTCTTCTTCAGTCTATTCTTTATATTGCAATCAGAGTTTTCTTCTTAAATTACAAACTCAATTACGTAATTTTACACACTGAATGCTTCAATGATTTCCCACTACCCTCAGAATAAAGTCTAAAATCCTTAACATGGCTTCAAGATTTGGCTTACGCCTCCCTAGCCTCACCTATAACCATTTTGCCTTACACATTTATGCACCACTCATTCTTACCTACTTGAATTACCCTAAAGGACTAGTCCCTATAGCTTGCAGGTTTTTGCAATATTCCATCTTCCTGAAACATTCTCCTCCATTCCCAATTCATACTTATCTCTTAGATATGGCTTAGTACAATTTTCCCAAGGAATGATTTCCTGATTACCACTACTAAATCTGGGTTGTGTGCTCATTGCACTATCTTCTGTACTTATTTTGTAGTTGTCTTTATGTATCCTCCCACCTACCGTGAGCTAATATGAGGGCAAAATTTTATCTGTCTAGCTCATTATTTTTAGATGTTTTCTTATGGGTACTATTCAGTGGGTTTTAGTATATTTATAAAATCATGCAACTATCACCACAATATAATTCCCGAACAATTTCTTCACTACCCATCATCAACCCCATGCTCATTAGCAGTCACTCCTATACCTTCCTTCCCACATCCCTAGGCAGCCACCAATCTACCTTTCATCTCTATGGAATTGACTATTCTGAACACTTCATAAAAATGGAATCATACAATATGTGACCTTTTGTGTCTTGTTTAGCTCATTCTTGAATCCTCAGCAGCATAATACTGGAACAAAGCAGATGCTCAATATATAATTGCTAAGTCAATAGAGAAAAATTAGAAGAACAAGGAAGAATTAAGGATCTTTAAAAAACCAGAAAATTTTAGAGGCAAGAGGAATTTTAAATGTCATTGCTATGGTTTGAATGTGTCCCCCAAAAGTTCATATGTTGCAAATATAATCCCCAGGGCAAGTGCTGAGGTAAAACCTCTAAGAGATGATTAGGTCATGAGGGATCTGCCTTCATGAACAGGTTAATGTCATCCCAGGAGTGGGCTCATTATGCAGAAAGTGGGTTTGTTACTAAAATGAGTTCAGCACCCTTGCACTCTCCCCATCACCCCTACTATGCGATGTCTTCTGCCATGTTATAGCACAGCAAGAAGACCCACACAAGATGCAGCCACTCAATCTTAGACTTCCCAGACTCCAGAACTCTGAGCCAATAAATTCCTGTTCTTTATAAATTACCCAGTATAAGGTATTATTATAGTAGTACAAAATGGACTAAGATACTCATCTAGTTCAAATATCTAATTTTCTAGATGAGAAAATCAAGATCCAGAAAAATCATTGACCTACCCAGGGCAAGCCAGCCAGTTAATAGCAGAGCTGAGACTAAAACTCAAGAGGTCTGACTCACAATTTAGGAGTTTGTCTAGACTGTCTCTTCCAAATTAAATTTCCCTTTACTTTCATTCTATCTAATATGATGCACTACTAGTTCCTCCCTACTCATTGGACCTGCTTGTTTATTTCTAAACATAGTAATGTCTGTTTCTGGTGTTCTAAAATGAGCTTGCTTCCGGAACACAAAAATATCTAAATCGTTTTTCAAAATAACCAAGCTCCTTTTAACCTTTGACTATTCTGTTGCTACTGTTGTTTTCCCTTCAAGCAGGTGTTCTGTGGAGGACTGCTATTCAAGTACAAACCCTGCTTAATTTTGAAAGCTCACAAATTGATAGCCCCAGGATGTATGACTCTAGAGATCACGCATTCTCAGAGAATAGGTCTAATTCTTTTTGTAATCACTTTGTTCTAACTCATTCTTTAAAAACCTAGAAGAGATTTTATAACTGTGGATTTTAAGAACTGAACTCTAACTTTCAAATGTCTTTCACTTAAATATTTGCTTCCAGATTTAGATACACAAACATCTGAAACTTTACAGGGCATCAATATGACTCTCTTTTACATTTGATAGGTCTACTTTGTGACAAGGATTATGATCCTTTGAGAAACAGTCAAGATTTCTATGTTCCTTCTGATAAAGATTAACTCTAGGCTTACTTCTTGATACTTTAAATGGTAGCACAGTTACTTCCTATTTTACCCCTTCTATTTATGAATTCAAAATTCACATAAAGATTAACCAGCTTTTGTTTAGTTATTAAGGCTTAAATCACCTTTTCTTTCTTTCTTTGGCCATTCCAAGTGAAGCAAAAATCAAAGTTTTATTGCATTTTCCCAAAGATCATCCTAGTTGATTTATGATGAGTCTCTACCCATCTTTCTCAATCTTCCAAAACAATTTTTGGTTTTTTGAAACGGAGTCTCACTCTGTCATTCTGGGTAGAGTACCGTGGCTTCATAGCTCATGCCAATCTCTGGGGTTCAAGTGATCCTCTTGCCACAGCCTCCCAAGCAGCTGGGACTACAGGTACCTGCCACAAAGCCAGATAGTTTATCTACTTTTAGTAGAGACAGGGAGACAAGGTCTCACTCTTGCTCAGGCTGGTCTCAAACTCCTGATCTGAGGCAATCCACCTGCCTCAGCCTCCCAGAGTGCTGGGATTACAGGTGTGAGCCACCACACCCGGCCCTAAACCAAGTTTTTAACAAGAAAATCCCCTTCCTGTCAAGCAAACAATACCCCATAGCTGGACTCTGAAATGCAACTAGATGACCTTCCTTACATGTGCATCAATAATGGATAGCTTTACTCAAACGAAGTGCATGGCAACATAAATGGGTTCAACAGATTCAACAAAGCTCAAGAGGAACAGAAATGTCCTCTACTAGTAGCCCAACTCCTTCATTTTAAAGAAGAGGAAAACCAGCACACTGTACCCCATGATTGCATTAATGTACATAGCTATGATTTAATAAAAAAAAATAAAGAAAGAAAGAAGAGGAAAGCCAATTCAATGTAGGAAAGAGTCTTAAACAAATGGTGCTGGAACAAGAGGACAGACATAGGCAAAAATATATATATGTATATATAATATATTAGTATATATATTCAAAAATATATATATAGTATATATGTTCAAATATATATATATATATTCAGATGCTAAAAAAAAGAAGAGATAAAGAAAAGAACTTCAACCTAAATCTCATGTGCATACAAATACTAATTCAAAATGGATAATGAATCTAAACATAAACAAAAAAACTATTTAAAAAAAGGAAAATGAAGCTCAGCAAAGAACTTGGTTTGCCAAACGTCACTCAAACTTCAGTTACTTAGACCTTCCATAGAGCTTGCTTCAATAAATTCTTATTCGGCTCGACGCCTATAGCTCAACCGGCTAAGGCGCCAGCCACGTACACCTAAGGTGGCGGGTTCGAATCCCCAGCCCGGACCCGCCAAACAACAATGACGGCTGCAACCAAAAAATAGCCGGGCGTTGTGGCGGGCGCCTGTGGTCCCAGCTACTTGGGAGGCGGAGGCAGGAGACTCGCTTGAGCCCAGGAGCTGGAGGTTGCTGTGAGCTGTAATGCCACGGCACTCTGCCCAGGGGGACAGCTTGAGGCTCTGTCTCAAAAAAAAAAAAAAAAATAAATAAATTCTTATTCATCATTTTAACAATTTCCATTTAGCCCTGATAATTCCCTTATTCTATGCTCACTCAGAGTAAATGATCCCTACTATGTTAATTGGGTATCTATTCGCGCTCCTTTGGTTTTTTTAATACCTTTTCTATGCTACTTCAATTATTCAATCATTCAACATTTACTAGGCAACTATAATGTGCCAGGCAACGTGAAAGATTACAGAATGTAAAATACTGTTCCCATCTGGAGAGATTTAAGGTCCAAGGGGAGAGAAATTAGATTATCATCCTAATGGAATTAGAAAGTCGGGTAGGGGCAAGAATCACACTGTTACTTCATTTTCCCCAGTCAAGGACATGATGTACTGCACAGCCTGTCCAATGCTCTGCACTTTGGAACACGTTTGGTGGTTGGCTAATCTGGAGTTTCAAGACACTCTCTCCGCTGTACTGTTTAGGGAACCAAAGTCCGCAGGGACTAAATGCCAAGTCCTCAATAAGGTGAAAGAGGAGGTGAGGTCGCAGGGAGCAGAGGAGGGAGGATCATCGCCACCTCCCTCACCTCTTAGTCTGTACCAGGCACTGATTATGGAGGAACATCTCAAAGGTGGGAGAAAAACCTGCCCCGGGTAAGATAAATGGGAAAAATCCCACACATTACTCCTTCCAATACGGTGGCACGGACGTCGTCAGCCTGACCAACCGACCGGTGGCTAATTATGGCTCCAGCTTGCACACCAAGACTGATTGATTCCCTCTTCTCCACAAAAATCTGACTTTTAAAGCTACCCCTAGATGGTGGGAATGCAGCTGCTCTTCCTAGTCCAACACAACGCTCTCCTTTTTCTCCCTTTTGTCTTCCTTCTCAGAGTCCAGCCTTCCCGCTTCTCTTCAGAGTACTTAGGCCCCCAAGAAATACTTGCCAATTAAATATAAAGCCTCAAGTAAAATGAAAAGAAAAGAAAAAAAAAAACTAGACACAAAGACCACAGAAGTAGGAGACCAAGCGCCCACCTCGGGAGGAGACGCGCGCTTCTGAGCGGCCCCTTACCTCAGGTCGCCGAGGCTCCCCTCCCGAACGCGACTCAACCGCCTTTTCCGGCCCGAACTCTCTCCTCAGGGTCATGAATATTCAGCAAGGTGCTTCTGGGCGGGGCCAGATGCTTACTCATGAATAATTCATTATTTTCCCAGGGCTTGCTGAGGTGACCATTCTCCCTCGGCTTCCCGAGTACGCTGAGAGGAAAGCGCAGCACCCTGGCTCCTGGCTGGCCGGGCCCCTTCGGTCACAGCCTCTCAGCCACGCTGGGATGCGGCTCCGAGTCCGCTGGCCCTCGGACCGCCGGCGCCTCGTCTCTCCCGACGCGTTTCCCGCCCTTCCGAGGGCTCGCGCCATGCTCCAGGGCCTGAGGGACCCGAGCTTGAGCCGCCCCAAACGCCACACGAACGCCAAAGGAGCAATCTGGACGGCGAGGACAGCCTGCTCCCGGGCTTCCAGAGGTAGCGCCCGACTGCCTAGGTGAGGCGTCGGGCCAATCTGGGGTTAGAGCCCGACGGGTTCTATATGCTAATGCGGCCCAGAGCCCTGGGCCAAAGAGTCCCAGAGAGGCCTGAGAACCGCGCAGAGCGCCTTGGGGAAGGGGAGCTAGAGCTGGAGGTCCAGAGGGCAAAACTTTCCAGTCTTTGAGGACATCTCCTACCATTTCAACCAAAGCTGGACCCCACTTTGTAGTCCTTTTAACAATAATGTGTAATTATGCAAGTTAAGCAAATAAAACATGAATGCATTGCCCTCTTTACTCTGTCCCTAATCTCAGTCCTCTCTGCCTTGGCAACCCTCGGGAGCAGGTGAGGGTGTGTCTCCCCAGATCCTTTCCCCTGTGGTTAGTAGGTATTTGGTATTTTGTGGCGCTTTCCAAAGATTCCCAGAATCCCTTGAACCTCTGCCATGGTATGTCCCAAAAGAGTGGGTGGAAGAGTAGGCCAATTGAAACCTGTTGGTATCTTGTTTCTTTGGGAAAGGGGAAAAAAAGATCCAAGTTGATGAGAACAGGAGTTTAGAACATAATAACTATTACCAAAATTTGGATAAAAATATACCTTAAGTGCAGGTTTTCTCAATTTTCAGCAATAGTATTCCTCCCCCTACCCAATCAAAGATTTTGCCCGCAAGTCTCTTGCGGGCAAAATCACCCTCTATTGAGAACTGCTGCTTTAATCCAATACTTTCCAAAAGTGTAAGTGCTTTTTAAGCTCCAACCAGCTTGGTCTTTCTACACCAGTCCTCTCCAGCCTAGCATTTACCTCCTTCTCTACCTGGACCACTAGCCCTTCTATGCTGGCTGTCCTAATTCTCATCTGCTTTCAGGTCTGAGCTTAACTATCAACATGTCCAAAGTCCTTACCCCTCAGCCCTATACTAATAGCAGTCTACTCCCCTTTCATTTATTATTCTGTTTTCTTCATAGAATTTATCTCAGTCTGGATTTCATTTCTTTGTTAAGCTAACGTGTTTTCTGTTCTTTGTTTTGTTTTGTTTCTGCTTTTGAGGCACAGACTCTGTTGCCTCTGCTAGAGTGCAGTGATGTCATCATAGCTCATAGCAACCTCAAACTACTGGACTCAATCAATCCTCCTGCCTCAGCCTCCTGAGTAGCTGATACTACGGCTGTGCCACCATGCCAGCTAATTTTTTTCTGTTTTTATTAGAGAGAGGGCCTTGCTCACACTCAGACTAGTCTCTGCTCAGAGTAGTGTCAAACTCTTGAGCTCAAGCGATAGTCCCATCTACTTCTCTCTGAGTGCCAGGATTATAGGCATGAGCCACCAAGCAGTCTTGTCTTTTTTTTTTTTTTTTTTTTGAGACAGAGTCTCATATGTTGCCCTTGGTAGAGTGTCCTGGGCAGCTCACAGCAACCTCTAACTCTTGGGCTTAAGCAATTCTCTTGCCTCAGCTTCCCGAGTAGTTGGGACTACAAGTGCCCACCACAACACCCAGCTATTTTTTGGTTGCAGTCATCATTGTTGTTCAGCAGGCCTGGGTGGGGCTCGAACCCTCCAGCTTTGGTGTATGTGGCCAGCGCCCTACACTCTGTGCTATGGGCGCCAAGCCTTCTTTTTCTTTCTCTATCATCTAAAATAAGTAAGCAAGCTTCATCAGAGGCCTGGTCTGACTGAGTCACCATGGGATCTCTGGTGTTGGCACACAGCAGACACTCAGTAAATATTGGTGAACTGGAGCAATAAATTACCCTCTCTTCTTCCTAAGAACTTCTGTGGAGTTTGTCTTATTCCTTTCCTTCCTTAGTTCCTTGTTGGGTTCCTGTAAATTTTGTTTAGAGCCTGAATGGGTAAATTAGCAACTGTGTCCATCCCCATGCTAGAAGCTGTGAGTGAAGCCTTCACCTTTGCTATTGGCTTATCAATTCCTCATGGCAGGAGCTGTAATTTTCACTTCTTTTATTATGTTTACTGAAGGTAATCAAATACATAGTTGAATAAACTAATCAGTGACTTAAGGAACAACATTAGATAATTAAAAATTGATAATGCTCCTGGGGGCTTTAGAAATCATCAAGTCTAGTCCTTCACTTTACAGATGAAAGTTTAAGTAATTTGCTCAGTGTCCCTAAGCTTGTTAAGAGACCAAGTCACAAGTATAACTCATGGTCTCACACCTCCTATTTCAATGCTCTTTCTTGTCTCCAGCCAGGCTAGTTTCTGATTACTTTTTTGTGAATCTGACTTACATCTCAAACACAGAAATCCCAAGCCCAATACTTGCTTCTTGTCAACTAAACAGTGAGCCTTTTGATTAAAGCCAGCACTGGGGATAATGGCTTCATGAGCTCGGAAGTGTTCTATGATATCCAAATAATTTCCCAGCTTCTTTTGTAACTTTCAATAATAAAAGACTGGAAATTATCCCTGTCAAAGCAAAGTATTTTTGTTTGTTTTGGAAGGGGAAACTGTGCTTTGTGGTAGAAATTGATCATTGTTTAGAAATTTCCAAATAAGCCGTATTTTGGCCTTTGTCAAAATTCTCTGGTTGTTAAAGTTTCACCAAACCCTATTCCCAGTGGTAAAATAACACATGAAAGAATTCAAAAGAGAAGGGAGAAAATCTTATTTGAGATGAGTTTTATTCTCTAAATTTAACCTTCCTCTCTTTAAACACATTTGTACCTTTAAACACTGTGTACCTGAAATAATAGTCTCTAGATCAGTGTTTTTAACGTTTTTTATCTCACGGCATATTTGAACCTATAGTTAAACTTTTGCAGCACACTTAAATTATGTTGATTTAAAAGAAAGAGTAAAAGAAAGAATATACTTACTGTGCTTTGAACTTCTTTCAAAAATAATTTAATTAATGATCTTTAAAATTTTTTGCAGCATTTTTGCCAGTTGAAAGTCATTGCTTTAGATAGACCTTTGTCCTTTGAGGGCAAAGGACCATTTTTGGATCCTCAGGTTAAGAAATTCGAGGTTTCTTTGTAAGAACATTTCATACAGGCAGAACCTGGTTAGTAGAGTCTTAGGGAGTCATTTTCTCAGCTTTTAGAATATAGGAATTTTTTCTGAGGCATCTGACAGCTGACTGTGTCACAGGAAGCGGAGCTATCATTTGTCTGTCTACCTAGAGTGATTGGAACATTCCCCATCAAGTTTAGTTTAAAATTTTAAAATCTTGAAATTTGAAAATCTTCTCCCAAAGATGGTTTATTTAAGGGTTATCAAGATTGACATGTTGAATATAAAATGTGTTCCCAGGAGATGTGTCTCCCTTCAATATACACAATCATGATACCAAATACAGAGAAAAGAGATTGGAGGGGACAGCTAAATAGGAAGGGTGGTTCCTTTATCCTATTTGCTTTCAATTTTTATTAGAACTCTTAGAAGCATCATAACTTCTAGTCATCATGAAGCTGATGCCACCATATTTATTCCAAGCATTTATTTTGTACCTACCATTTGTACCTACCAAACATTCTACTTAGTACTACAGGATTCAGAGAGAATGACTTGGTTCTTGAGCTGTGGAATTTTTTTTTTCTTTTAGACCGAGCCTCAAGCTTTCCCCCTGGGTAGAGTGCCATGGCATCACAGCTCACAGCAACCTCCAACTCCTGGGCTCAAGCGAGTCTCCTGCCTCAGCCTCCCACGTAAC